CTCGCGGTACTTTTGCAAGTAGAGCTTGAGCGGCTCGACGTACGCATCAAAGCCCAGCGTGCTCATGGCCCAGATGATGTCGTCGCCGTTGATCGTCTTGCGCTTCTCCTGCTGGCACTTGTCGCTCGCCTCGGACGTGATGAACGAAATGAACTCCGAGACGCACTCCTGGACCGTCTCCTTGCCGTCCTTGGCGATCTTGGCCGTGTTGGGCAGCGAGACCTTCATGATGCGGGAGATGTTGGCCGTCGGGAGGAAGCGGTCCTGCTCGCGGATCTCGTCGTCCATCTCTTCCTTGCTGCTCATGCTGCTGCGGCTTCGGCTGCTTCCTTGACTGGCACAGACGCAAGAGCCTCTACAACATGATACGATTTGTATCGAGTGTCACAGGTGGCTAGAAACACGCTTCTTTAGCCATGGGTTGCAGGACACAGGATACCCGTGGCTTCGATGGAGACACCATATCGATGTCAGATCTATCTCGCGCGATATTAGACACGATCGTGAGCCACAGCAAGCGCGGGCAGCGCAGGTGCACGTTCTCAGGACTACCCCGGGCGACTGCAGAAGAGCGGGACGCAAACCCCGCCGCCGCCACAACCCGGCGAGCGAATGAAGAAGAAGAAGAAGGAGATTGCTGGTCTCAAAGTCTCTGTAACACGAAGATAACGCGAAACACGTTCATATATACGCGCGCGTCATTGCCCGTGCATTGGCTCTTGAATGACATATGCCTCGGCGCACCCATGGCTCCTAAACAAGCAGTGATCTGTCAGCACTGCAAAGGGTCCTGGTCCAGCGCTGTCTCTAGAGTGGAGTAAAATGACAATGTCGTTGCGACCCAAGATGTCGTCTTGTTGTCTGAAGTATTAGGTACACTGTAAGTTGCACCAGGGTGCGAGAATGCTCTCCGTGTAAATGCGTAACCATCGCTACACGCCAACAGCCTTCATGCATCGCTCAAAGCTAAGCGTTGTTGCCAGTGCAAAGCACCTTAAAGAGGCTGCAGATCGCGTCGCAGACCTCTGTCGTCGCACTTGATACGTAGTCTATTGTAGCTCCAGGGGCGAGAGCTGCTGTCTGTGTCGCAGTGAGTTTCGATCGCAGATCGATCGCAGTTCTGGCCAATCAAACAATGCCATGCTCAAGACGCCCAATCGTTGGGCGTTGTCACCATGAAATACTGGATTGGCTCAAAATATGTCAAATACCGCCAATCCACGGGCACTGTGGCGACAGACGTGTGCGATTGGCCATAATTCGGACGCGATGACAGCGTACGTGCCACCCGAGTGGGCCGCCGGCGGGCAGAACGTCTATGGCCTCTCGCTCGAGGTCATCAAGAGCGGCGTCGTCTTGGACACGGTCGCGCTGGATGCCAAGCCCTTCTTCGTTGCCGGTGCGTTGGCCTCCTGACGGCGAGCGACGCTCATCGTGAGCTAGGCCGCATGGAGCCGCTCTGCGACCTCGTGCTGCAGCATCCGTCTGTCTCGCGCACCCACGCCGCTCTGCAGTTTGACGCCGACGGTGCGATTACATTGCCATCCATGGCCATGGCTCATGGCGGCGCGTAGGCAAGCTCTTTGTCGTGGATCTCAAGAGCACCCATGGCACGCACGTCAACAAGCGGCGCCTCCCGCCCAGCGAGTACGCGCAGCTGTACGTCGGCGACGTGGTCGTCTTTGGCGAGTCTACGCGCATCTACACGATCCTTGGCCCACCCGAACTCATGCCCGATGAATACAAGTAGACACGCCACATACCTCCTCCTGGTCTGATCACGTGCTTGGTTTTGTAGCTCGACCAACTTGGAGAAGCTCCGCGCGTCAGTACGTCCGAGTCTGCTGCTTGATGCCTTGGTGCTCACGACGAGTGTAGCTGGCCGAGAAGAAGCGGCGGCCAAAAAAGCCAAGTGCTTGCGACGATGGCATCTCATGGGGCTTTGGTGAAGATGCGGAAGAAGAGGACGACGCCGACCGAGACGACAGCAGCGACGACGAAGGCAGCGACAAGCGCCGGCAACCCGCTGTCAAGTCTGCGCGGCAAGAGAGCTTGCCCGACTACTTGCGCGACGTACGCTGGCATGCCTTCGGCACGAGGATTGATACGTTGATACATTACTCTAGCGCAAGGATGTCTCGGGGCCGTACGTCTCGAGCGTGTCGAGAGAGTCCATTTCGGCCAAGGACACGGCGCTTTATACCCGTCTCCAGGCGCGCATGCAAAAGATGGAAAACCTCCGCACCGAGTCGGAGCGAATTCGAGCCAAGCAAGGCATGGGGCTCACGGACGGCCAGCAAGCCGCGCTCGGTACATTTTGATACTCTATATCGGGATCGTTTTTTTCACATTGACACGGTGACTAGACAAAAACGAAGCACGGATTGCGCAGCTCCAAGAAGAAATTCAGACCATCGAAGCGACGCTGCAAGCCAAGCAGACGCAGCGGCTGTCGCAAAAGGCCCAGCTCGATGCCAAGAAGGAGGCCGGTGCGTCTCCTCCTTCGTTCGTCGATTCGAAAAGCTCAACGAAGAGCTAGGTGCGACCAAAGCCGCGACCAAGCCCAAGACGTCGACCGCGTACGACGACGACGACGACGATGATTTCTATGACCGTACCAAGGCCCATGCGCCCAAGAAGCACGTGCCGCTGTCGGTCGCTCCGCGCGTCTTGACCGCTGACTCGATTCGCGCCAACCTACGCGCGCTCAAGCACCAGCTCGAGACGATCCAAGCTCAGTATCGCAAGAACGAAGCGGCTGCTGCCACGTACGATGCTGCGACTTGAGCACACGCCATGGAGATGCATTTGAATGCGTAGGACGCTTGAAGCCAGCACGGACGACGGCGACGACAGTTTGGACGCCTATTTGCAAGCGTCCAATGCAGCGCTCGTGGCCGACCAGCGCACCAAGCTGCAAGCCGAGACGATCCGTCTCGAGGCGCTCATTGACGAGCAAGAGAAGCTGCTAGCCATCGCGACGCCAGCGCTCGACAAGGTTGTCGAGAAGCCCACGCCTGTGGCGTTTGCTCCGGACGTCGAGTCCGCTCCAGTTGTGGCCCAAGTCGCCAAGCCGGTTGAGGCACCGGTAGCCGCGGCTGACCCGCAGCAGCCACCTTCGTTGCTCGTGCTTGCACCTTCTGTTTCCGTCGAGACGACAGCTTTGCATCCAAGTGTGTCGTCGGGCGAGAGCCCGCCGACGCCACCAGAAGAGCTTGTGCGTACCGTGAGCTCGCTCGATGTCGAAGCAGCAGGCCAGAAGAAGCGCCCGGTCCCATCGACCGCGCCCAAGCCCAAGCGGCAACGCCCGAATGGCGCCAAGCCCGCCAAAGTGTTTGATGACGGCGTCCTCGAAGGCGGTGAGAGCGTATGGCAGCCGCCCGCCAACCAAACCGGCGACGGCCGCACGGCGCTCAACGATAAGTACGGCTACTAATACAAGGACGTACGTTGGCATGCAACATGTTGGCTGGCTTGGCCCCATTTGGGCGCTTCCTCTGGCCTGCTGCTTCTACATCGAGCGAGCGAGCGAGCTTACGGTACACACGGGCACTTTGATAGCGGCTGATACGATGCCATCGGTTCAGTGCTGGAACCGCCTTCAAAGTAGCTTTTCGAACGACGTTGCTTGGTTTGGCGTCGTCGGCAGTGCAGAGACTAGCAAGAAGTAGTACGGTACAATCGACCACATTCCAGAAGGCAGGGGCGAGACGAAGCGCTCCGGCTTGCTCCAGAGTAGGACAGACACGTCAACCTGCTTCTGGCATCTCCGCCTGCGGACGCAGCACCGTCGCCGTTTCGGATCCTCGTAGCGTGCTGCTCTAGTAGCTGCGAGTAGCAACGAGGTCGATGCAGTGATACGCGTCCTGTCGTGCGGCGTCGTGCAACACCGAGCGGTCGTCGGATCTATCCACGTGGCACGTTCTGGAACCCGCGTCGACTGAGACGTGGCATCTGATTTGCCCGTAGCGCTTGAAGTTGGTGCTTACAAACACCAAGTGTAGCGCAACGGTCTGCCACGTCCAACTTCAACCAACGTCTGATTGGGTAAAATTGAAAACGCGAGAGATTCGACGTCGGTGATTGGTCCTTTGCGTAGGCTCAGGCTGACGTGACTGGAACATCTATTATGTTTGAGAGGTTCTCGAGTGGCAAGAGTTTCGATGGCGATCGGTCGTTCACGTTGCTCGAATCTAAAACCGTACACCTTACGTCCCATTCCTTGAAGCCAATTTGTGCAGATTCCTTTTCAAGATATGGAGCCCCAATGCGGCGAGGAGCTGCATAGGACCACACTTGGTGCACTGCAGAGGCCACCGACCTTGCACTATACGCCATCGGGTCAGCCTTCTTGCTGCATCCCTATGCTCCTAGGGTACTATAGATGCGCAAACGTTGATGCCACACCTCCAGGGCGGCAAGACGCCAACGGTCGCGAGGTGTGAGGGCCAGTCAGATTGGCATCGTGGTCTTTTCACATCAAAAAGATTCTTGCCTATGTAAGAATGCACCGATGAGGCCCTCGGAGCACGTCGCATACGGCGCGTGGGCACACTACAGTGTACTGTACGATGTCGGAGAGCGGCCAGCACAGAACAGAGCAGGAGTGACGAGAGAGGGTTGTCCCTGTGGTATTAAATACATTAAATTATAGAGGATATGCATTTGCACAGTGTCGATTTTCGAATCTTTTCCGACGAATCTGAACCCGGCGGTGCTCCTATTCCAAAATTGTATTCTCTATACAAACACCGAGTGTGGGTTGTATATTAATACCCCACCCGCGGGACGGCAATCTCAGTCGGCCATTTTCCAACTTGACGGACCCGGATGCAGCTGCCCGACCGACCTGACGCCAACATGGAGCAGCTCACGTGGCCGCAGTCGCCGCCGATGACGATCCCGATGGGCCCGATGACGTCGCCGCGGACGCTTGCGCCGGCCATCGACTTTCTCATGGACGCCGTGTCGCCGCAGCTCTCGTTTGAGGCCCGCGAAGGCCAGATGCTCGTCCAAGCCTACTACATGCAGTCGCGCTCCCGCGTCGAGTCGCTGGACCCCAAGGACCAATACGCCGGCTACGTCTTTTCGCCGCAGGCCACGCGAAGTTACCGCGACGACGACGACGACACGATCTTCCGCCTCGAGCTGTAGACGTCCGTGTCGTCTGTGTTAGAGTGCGTCGTGGTCGTGTTAGCTGTCGTAGAATGAATGAATAGAGTCGCAGGTTGTAGCATGTGGATACCTTGTCATGGTCGAGATGATCGCGTCGCATGATGTCGGCGGGACGACGCCGACGAGGCCGGTCGGAGCATGGCATCGTGCATCGGGCGCGTGAGGATGACGGCCCTTATCAACACACGGCCATGATCCAACACCATGACCTTGTCTCTCGCTCGAGCAAGGCGCGTGGCAGCCCATGACGATCAACCTGCGGTTGCAATGGTTTCTTGCTGCAGGGTTGGGGTCGCCTCTCAGATCCCCAAGATCCAAGTACTCAGTTTCCATGACATATGATGCTGGTTCATTTCTCTAGACGCTCCACAGCAACGGCTCGCTCGGTCGATGCATGCAGAAGTGGAAATGCATGCAATGGAAATAATGTGGTGAAAATTTGCAGACGCTGCAACTAGTCTGCCAGCATCGCCACCAGCGCGACGAGAAGCCAGGTGCCAATCGCAACCATGCGCTTTGTTGGGGCCATTGACTTGGTCGGCAACGGTGTCGACGTCGGTGTCGGCGTCGGTGTCGGCGTCGGTGTCGGGTTTACCCTGGGCGTCGTTGGCGCCGGCGTCGCAGGGCACAGCATGTTCCTCATCGCTGCGGCGCTCGCCACGGCGCCCGAGGTCCTCTCCAAGCTTTGTATCGCGATGTCCAGCGTGATGAGCTTTTCGTTGGCGACAAGCACAGCGTACGGCATCGTCGTGAGGCTGCACGCGGGGGCCATGGACCCGAGCGCCATCGCGATGCCGACGCACGGCGACCTGCAGAACGCCCGCGTCTGCGGCGTGTTGGTCGAGAGCTTGGCCATCACGTACGCAACAAAAGAGTTGATGGTCGTGCTCGATGGGAGGCCAATCGCACTCGAGCAATTCACCCACAGCGGCGTATTGCCGAGAACGCTCATCGCGTTGGCGTCGGCAAGCGTACACGGCGCGCCGATCGGTGCCGGCGCGCAGCTAAACCGTTGCGCATGGCTCGCGCGGACATTGGCCGTCGGGTGGTTATGGTCGAATGTGCAGTTGGGCAACCGATGTGCGACGGCCTGCGTGTTGGCCACGCACGTTGGCGTGCTGCAGTACGTCTGGTATTGCGCTGGTGTCGACGGCGACAGCATCGACAGCGTCGCAGCGGGAATGATGTTGGAGCAGTTGGCCCACACCGGTGCACTCATCGCGAGGCCCACGAGCAGCGTGTCGGCTTCGGTGCACACGCCGCCGTTCGTCGTTGGCGACGACATGTTGGTGCAGTAGTCGTTGAGGACCGAGACCGTGGTGCGAACGCTGAGATACTCGTCGCAGTCGGGCACCCTGCTCGTGTAGTTGGCCAAGTCGACGGCGCACGGTGGCTGGCACACGCCATAGTAGTTGTCGAGGTACAACGTGGTATAAAACGGCGTCGTTGTCGTGGCGTTGATGCTCGAGGCGCAGGCTGCGGACGTGTTGACCGCCATGGCTTCGTGCAAGGAGCTGTTTTGCGCCAATGTGCATGGAGCCCCCGACGCACTCGCAAAGAAGCCAGCGACCGTCAGTGTGTGTAAATGGAACGGCGTACTTGGCGATGATACCATGGTTGCTGCGGGCCCGCGGCGCGATTCTCGTTCTTGTTGTCGTGCGTGGAGACACGCCAATGCACGACTAGTTCGCACAGGAGAAAACTTCGGTCTGCCGATGAATTTAGAGGGGGCCGCCATCTTTGTAGCGTCATTTGCTTGGTCATTTACAGGGCAGCGACCGTCTTGGTGGATGCTCTTGGGATAACCACGTGGATGATGACGGGGTAACCGATGTCGACAATCAAACGCTACATAAAATACCGTCAACCGTCGACATCCATGATGACGGTTGCAGCGCCATTTTGGATCGTGTGGCGGCCAATCCTTTATTGGACCCACCTCCAGCATGCCCTCCATACTCCACGAGCTCAGATGCAGCGGTGGATTGATCGCCTCGACGATAGCAGCATTAACAAGTCCACCAACTCGACAGGATGCACCGTCTGCTTGCGCTGACATGGATGCTGCTGACGACGACGCACCATGGGGCGGCGGCCCCGTGCTCTATGGCACAAAATACCTCGCACGCGCAAGCCATCGCTGCCAACATCTCGACCTCGTGTGCGATGGCACTGCACATGCCGCCGGACAGTGCGACGTTCGACAGCCTCGTGGCCGAAGTCGGCAGCTACGATACTCTGTGTCAACCTGCGTGCAGCGACGATCTCGCCAACTACACGAGCCGCGTCCCGTCCTGCGACGAGGCCAGTACGACAAGCCATGCGCTCACGCTGCTGCAGTCGTACTGCTACAACGTGACGCATCCAACGATGGACGGTGGCGCTTGCACCGGTGCGGACTTCGCTCTCTTTGCCGCGGTGGTCAGTAAGCCGCTGTGGTCCAACTGCTCCAGCAATGCAAGCAGTAACGTGATCGAGCTCTCTTCGGACACGACGGCCTTTCCAGCGTACTGCGGCTCGCCGAACTGCGTCGCCAATATCGCTGCCGTGTACGACCAGGTGCCCAACTGCAGCATCGACCTGTCGGATCCAGGAGCCAACGTCCGAGGGGCGCTTCAACAAACGTTTAATTGCACGCCGGGGGACGCTGGAGGCAGGTGCACTGCCGGCGACCTCCAGATGCTCACAAATCTGGCGACGCTCCCTGTCTGGGCCAATTGCTCGGAAGCACTCAACCTGCCGCCATCGACCAAGTTTACTGCGCTTTGGACAACGGAGACTCCACCGCAATGGTGCGCGACGACGTGTCCGGCGTACGTTGCCGTTGCGTTCACCACTCATGTGGTAGCGTGCGATCTCGCTACGCTTCCAATTCTCCCCGGCCTATTGGGTCCGATTGTCTCGACGCTCGCAGCCGCGCATGTGGCGGCGGCATCGATGGGAGTGGCTGCCGCCGAGGCAGCTGCCCTGGCGAAAGCGTGCCCGGTGACCCCGGCCCCCACGACGCCGAAGCCAGCGCCGAAGCCAGCACCGACGCCAGCACCGACGCCAACACCGACACCGACCCGATCGATCGCGGCGCCTGTGACGATGAGCTTGCTTGGCGCCTGCGGGGTCGTGCTGGCTATGCTTTTATAATGTTCGCAGACCCTCGACGACAATAATACATGCATCTTTTTGCTTGGGCCAAGAGAATCGTGGCGATGGGGAGGTGTGTGGCTCATACACCATGGGTTCATATGGACATATCGTATGTACTCGTGGTCGCGGCCGCTACACGAGCCGCGTCCTGTCCTGTGACGAGGCCAATGCGACGGCCGCCACTCGAGCGCTACGGGTCTTATGTCGTTTTGGTTTGAGAACCATCGATGGCATGCTCCATCTTGGTTTAGCCAAGCAATGCATGGAGGTTTGGCGGAGTTTTCCTCTGGTGGCGTACTGCCGATGAACTTGAACCTCGACGCACCAGCAGCGTACTACCGGTAGTACAATTGCACAGGTGCCATGTTGGCAGCTCACGTGTCGAGTTTCTAAACTATCAACGTATCGAGCTAGTTGTATACCGACCCGTCCTGCTTTGTGTGACACTCTGCTTGCAGCGCCAAGGAGGGCCGCGGACGGTGTGGGCCGACTGAGTCGACCTTCTCGACTCGACTCACCCTGCGTGACATCGTTATTGCCGGCCGCCAGACAAAAACAAAATTCTGTAGCGTACGTCACGTTCGAGTTCTTACAACCGCTCGATGATGAGCGCGCCAGCGCCGCCGCCGCCGTTGCAGATGGAGGCCGCACCGATCGTCGCGTCGTTCTGCTCCAAAATGTGGATGAGCGTACCGACAATGCGGGCGCCCGACATGCCGATCGGGTGGCCGAGCGCGACGGCACCGCCGTTGACGTTGACGCGGCTGTGGTCGAGCTTCATGAGCTCCATGTTGGCGAGGGCCACGACCGAGAACGCTTCGTTGATCTCGTGGTACTCAATGTCCGAGAGCTGGAGGCCAGCGTGCTTGGCCGCAATCGGAACGGCCTTGGACGGCGCGGTCGTAAAGTCCACGGGCTTGTGGGCGGCGTCACCGAAACCACGGATGCGCGCCAGGGGCTTGAGGCCGAGCGCGTTCGCACGCTCGCGCGACATGACAACGAGGGCCGCGGCGCCGTCGTTGAGGGGCGACGCGTTGGCGGCCGTGACCGTGCCGTCCTTCTTGAAAGCCGGGCGCAACGTCGGGATCTTGTCGAGCTTGACGTTGTAGATCTCGTCGTCGGCCGAGACAATCTTCGGGTCGCCCTTCTTTTGCTTGATCGAGACCGGGACGATCTCGGCTTCAAACTTGCCGGCCTGTACAGCGAGCAAGAGACGATGAGATCGTGTTGGCAACGGGGGGGTTGTCGTACCTTGGCCGCGGCCGCCGCACGCGTGTACGAAGCGATGGCAAAGTTGTCTTGATCTTCGCGCGAGAAGCCAAAGTCCGTCGCGCACTTTTCGCCACACATGCCCTGCAGGAGGAAGGTGTCAATGCCGGCGACGAGGAGGATCGAGGTGCGTAGTACCATGTGCTGGTTGTTGTACGGGTCCCAGAGACCGTCGTGGATGACACCATCGACGAGCTTGCCGTCGCCGAGGCGGTAGCCCGACCGCGCCTTGGGCAAGTAGTACGGGATGTTGCTCATGCTCTCGAAACCACCGGCGAGCATGATGTCCTGGCTGCCGGCCATGATGGCCTGCGACGCCATCGCGATCGCCTTCATGCCGGACGCGCAGACCTTGTTGACCGTCGTGCACGGGACCGAGTCGGGAATACCTATGCAGGAATAGGGTCAACTTGTGGTCGCTGTCATCGCGGCGGATAGCGTACCGGCCTTGAGGACCGACTGGCGCGCCGGCGCCTGGCCAATGCCAGCGCTCACGACGTTGCCGAGGTACGCTTCCTGGATGTCGTTCACGCTGATACCAGCACGCTCGATCGCAGCCTTGTTGACGATCGCACCGAGTTCGGGGCCGGTCAAGCTCGAGAGCGCACCGTTGAACGTAGCGATCGGCGTACGCGCGTAGCTGACAATGACAACGTCCTACATACCCATGTCAACCTCGCCGTCTAGCTTTGCATGAGCTCGTCGTACCCGCGGCGAAGCGGCGTGGCTAAAGCGGCGGGCGATCGAGGCAGCGGCGGTCTTCATCGGAGAGAGATTCCAAAAGTGAGCGGCCGACGCCCTTGGATCCTAGCTTCAAGTGCGAACTTCGGTCTCGCATACAAATATCAGGCCACGCCAGCGATTTGTAATCAAATGTCACTATTTATTCAACAACCTCTAAATCGTGTACTTTTGACCTTTGGATGCATACACTATATCAGATATTTGCGTATCATCTGTTGCGACCACGCTTGACGCAGCGCTCCATTTTCACACTATTTCAGTGGTTTCGGATGACCACAGGCTATCCGCTTCGAACTTCGCCCTGCACGGGACAATCCCTGGGCACATTCCATGCGGTATACAAACTTCAAGAGAACCGACCAGAATTTAAAAAAGATCGGATTGGGATGTGTTGTGGCACGTGCCTGGCAGCGGTGTCGACGATGCTGCTGCGGTCGTGGTCGGTAGTCGCCAGACGATAAACAGGCGAGGTGCATGTGTAGGGCCATGGCCCATGCGCGCGGTCGAGCTGCGTCGATGGAGGCCAACCATGCCCACGGCCATGCACGCTACGACGGCGAGCATCCAAATGACTAATGACGGAACCCTCCCGAAGGAATTGGCCGCGCGTGAGAAGCTTGTATGCTGCATGTGGCGGCCACGCTTGGAGCGGTATGGGGATGGCGCGATATGGGATGAAGGTAAAGGAATAGTAGCCACGGCGTCAGATCATCAACGGTGCATGCGGCTGTCGTCGTGGCGGCGCGATGCAAAGCGGCCACCACGATGCGCTAGTGTGGGCGACCCATTCGCCACCGCCTCGCATGCATGTATACTTGCAATTCGCTAGAGCTTGAATACGCTAGAGTGTTCGGCTTGGCTCTTTCTCTCGACGAAAGGGGCGTTGATGTGCACTTGAGCCGCACGTTGTCCACTACCGGGACGCAAAAGCCTCCACGAACTCTTCGCAAAGCGATCGCAGCCAGACGAAGTGTCGACCGTAGTAGGATAATAAGATCCACGTCGCATGCGCGTGTACTATGACCTTAGTCGTCATGCAGTATGGCGACACTAGTCATATCGTGCAGTGGTTTGCATCAACCCTGCTGCTGCGTTGCTTTCCAGTGGCGCCAATCGGATTAATGACATAAACATAAGACGACAATGCTCAAAAAGAGAACGTGCTGCAAGCAATATACTGCGAGGTCTGCTACCACCTCTTGCTAGTAGGGTTAAACGTCAAATGCACCCGTCTGAACTACCACCTCTTGCCTCAGGCGTTGGGCCTTGGGAGCGTAGTACGCTCACGCAGCTCACTTTCAGCATTACTAGTAGAGGATTCGAGGGCCGCCGACATTTCCCATGCATTCACGCGTAGCTGTACGTTTGTGAAGTCTTTGAGCGTATTGTGGTGAAACTTGATTTCAATGGATTGATCGAGAAGATGCAACGCGCAAGGTCATACTTTCGGATCTCTGTCGTTGGCAACTTGCAACCGCTGGGACGCAGCTGGCTTGTCCTCATCGTATGCACTCCAAGAAACATGAGCAGCTAGCAACACGACCATAGTTCGTACATGTCCTCCTCGCACCGCATGCAATGGCACCGAGAGCCAGCGTGCACCTAGAGTCCAAACACCGTGATCCTTTTATGGGTCGGCGCGTACCAATGGACGTTGCGATGGCACCGGTCGAGGTATCTCGATGCTAACAGAAACAAGAAAATCGTTGGGCCATCGATCGACGATGATTCGGATACAATTGTTCTCGAGCTGCTTTCGGCCAATCACACACGCCACGCTGAAATCGCGGGATTTGATTGGAAGGGGTGTTTTCATCCGCGTCATTTTGCGACTCGACTTGCGATCACTTGCTGACTTGCGATGGCGACGTCAAAGGAGGTACATTCGATATTAGCGAGGAAGTAGCGCGGATGCATGTGACTACATAGAATGAGCTCCATGAAGCTGCAGAAGTTGGTCAGCTGGACGCTGTCAAGCGGCTCGTGGAAGAAGAAAACATCAATCCCAACGGCAAAGACGGCGTACATCTGCTCTTCTACTTGTTGGGTCGATCATCGATTTTCGTAGGCACCATTGTGGGTCGCGGCTTGGCGTGGTCAAACCAACGTCGTCCGCTACTTGCTCACGAAGAACGCTTCAACCGAAGTGTGTTGCAATGTACGACAACGACAACTTTATGCGTCTTGCCTATGTATGGTCAGGATGGCCGCTACACGCCGCTGATTGAATCGGCAAAACACAACCATCTCGAGATCGCGCGCCTCCTCTTGGATGCCAACGCCAACACCGAGGCCAGAAACATCGTACGCACCGCGCCTTGCGGTATGATGAGGACGCTAAGGATGGCATGATGGGCATAGTACAAGGAAAGAGCGCTCGATGTCGCAGTCAAATATGGACGCGATGCCATCACACAGCTCTTGCGCGACCATCCTCAACGCAAGATCAACAAGGACAAGGTGCATTGACACATTCGACCTTATCGACGTTTCCATGCGTAGCTTCTTGCGGCCTTGCGCGAAAAACGCATCCACGACGCCATTCACCTCATCAAGGGACCCCATATCGACGTGAATCTGCGAGACGGCGTACGTCGACTGCATCGCGAGCTACGTTCTCATGATCCTCTTCTTGTAGAATTTTGTCCCACTGCTGCATTTGGTGACCGACACGCGTGACATGGAGCTACTTCAAACTCTCCTGGCCAAGCCCAACCTCGATGTGAACGCCACCGACAAGGTATACAAGGCGCTGCCGACATCAAAATCTCACGTAATCGTAGGACGAGCAATCGGCGCTTGCCCGTGCGATGGCCAAGAACAACGTTGCTGCGGTTGCTGCCCTTGTGCAAGCCAACGCACGTGTGGCCTTGATGAGCGACGAGGTATCATCAAACTACCTCCTCTGTTGTCTTCGCACTCGACACACATTGTTTAGGGCGTAGCCGTTCAACTGTACCAGTTTGGATCGCTACTGCTCCAAGCAGCGGCGACCAACAACGCCGGCAATCTCGAAGTGCTTCTTCGTGCTGGTGCTCGTCCGTCGACCACCAACGAGGTGTGCTGCTCCTTGCATATCGAAACGCATCATCCAACGCTACTTCTGCAACTTTAGGATGGAGCCACGGCACTGCACGTGGCTGCCACCAAGGGCCACGACGCCATCGTCACGCTGCTCCTGGCAAAGGATCCGTCCCTCTCTTGTCGCAGCGACCAGGTAGTCCACTGCAACTCTCGTCACGACCCTTCATGCCGACATCTAGAGCGGCAATCTGCCGCTGCATCTCGCAGCGATGAAGGGACATGCGTCTATTGTGGAAAAGTTGCTCCTGTATGCGCCAATGAAAGGCCTCAATTGGACCAACAGCGTACGACGGTTCCTCGACACGTGGTATCTCGATTCGCTCGTTGCTGTATAGGACGGCTGTACACCCCTTGCCGTCGCAGTCAAGTGCGCCCACGCGCCCGTTGTCTCGCGTTTGATTCAATCCGGGGCGTCTCTTGACTCCACTACTAGTGTAGTCCTTCTTCTTCGCTCCTGTGGCACAGAGAAAGGCTCACTTCATGCTTGTAGAATGGATGGACGCTGCTCCACGAGGCTGCGGCGACAGGAACCTTCGACGTGATCACGATCCTCCTCTCGACCACGCTCAACATTTTTGCCAACACGATGGTATTACATTCGTTGTCCACGATTAATAGCTTGGGACATGACGCGCCTGTGTCATATGCGTAGGCGGGCGAGACGCCACTCAAGATTGCGATCGACAAGCAGCGCAACAAAACCATTACCAAAGCCTTCAAAGACGCAGAGGCCGCCGAGAACAAATGCTTCTTGGACGCGGTGTCGAGTGGCAAATTCAACCTCGTCGCTGCATTTTTGAAAAAGGGCGTCGACATGACCACGACGGACGATGTGCGTTTATTCTATCGCCCGTGGTTTTCGATGGCATTTGTGGTTTGCGTAGAATGGCCGCACGGCGCTGCACGTGGCCGTGGCCAAGAACCATGAGCGTGTCGTCGAGCAACTCGTGCGCGCAGGAGCGACGATCGTTGTCAGTGATGCGGTACCGCCTCTATCGCGTAGCCGTTCTTGAATGCGGCTAGCAGGACGGGACGTCGCCGCTGCTCTTGGCTGCTCGCCAAGGTCATGTCGCAAGTGCCAATGTGCTCCTGAAGGCGCTGTCGCTCGAGGCAATGACGTCTTCTGTTCGCTCGAGCTACGCCGAGGCCATGGACATGGACCACACCGAGGTCGCCGAGATGTTGTTTTCGCACCTGCCACCGAGCGTCGCGGATCCGGTCGGCTACATTGAGTGCATGTTTGTCTGACATTGCACACAATAGGAGGCAGCCCCTGCGACCATCGAGGATACCAGCCGCCGAGATGCGCTGCTGGCCATCTTTCGCACCGCATTGAACGGCGCCGATTCGGTGTGTAGAGCTAGTGGCTGGACCAGTGACGATGATCGTCGGTGTAGGAAGTTATGAACCAGACTTTAGTCCAAGCCGTGGTGGTCGGCCACGTCGACGCTGTGCATTGCCTCTTGGTGATGGGCGCCGACCCAACGACGATGCGACCGGTGCGATGACTCGACAAGCGTCATCAAGTTGCAATGGGGCTTGTAGGAGCAAGACGGGTGGACGCTCCTGGCACTGGCGATCCGGCAAGCCAACGACGCTGTCGCACAAGTGCTCTATCCTTATGTGTACCCTGCGCCAGCAATGGTACCGTGTCAACATGTCCATATTGTCTACTCGGATGCACTATCCAATATACTAGGCCATAGCCAACGAGCTCGTCATCGAACGGGACATCTTTAACGGCGCCAGCGTCACCGTCAAGATGGGCACATACGGGGGCAAAGCCGTGGTCATGAAAGGTCCCCAACCCACGTGATATGAGCAACTTTGAGCAAGAAATCAACACGATGCGCACGTACGACGTACTGCGTTGGAGCGACAAAAATCGTGGGACTAGGTGCACGTCGCCGAACCTCCAGCCGCTGCTCGCAGTCCTCGACAATGGCTCTCGAACGCCGCACGTCGTGCAGCCGCGAACGTTTGTGTACAGCCCGACGATGGTCATGGAGTACATGGAGCTCGGGGACTTGCACGAGTCCCTCCAGTTCAAGCGATTTGGGGTGCCCGTGGAGATGGAGCTCTCGACGATCGAGGTTGCGCTGGTGCTGGCGTTGGCGCTGGCTGACCTCCACCGTCGCAACGTGATTCATCGCGACGTCAAGAGCCTCAACATCTTTCTCTCGCGAACCCACTACGTCCGGCTCGGTGACCTTGGCTCGGCGCGCACCCTCGACCCAAACGCTCCCATGACATCCAACACTGGCACGTCGTACTGGATGGCGCCGGAAGTGCTGCGGGTGCCAGATCTGGGGGGAAAAGGTCGCGCGTACACGACGGCCGCCGACATTTACTCGTTCGGCGTCGTCTTGACCGAACTCGATACGCTCTGTGAACCGTACTCAGATATGGTCAACCGCAGCGGTGTCGAAGCCAAGGTTCGGTCGGGGCAGCTGCGTCCAACGATGAGTGCGGCATGCCCGCTTTGGCTCAAGAACCTCGCCGACAAGTGTCTGTCGTTCAACCCAACGACGCGCCCGACAGCTGCGGCCATCGTCAAAGAGCTTTTGCTGCGCCGCGACGGCGGCGCCGACGCGCCGATCCTGGACAAGAAGGCAGCAACCAGCGCCGTGGGCCTGCGGACGATTTCCGAATAAACGCCAACGAGGTAGTATCGGACCATCTCTACCGTCGTGCTTGACGTTCGTGAACGTACATAGGTCGCGTAAGGCGTTGTCCATCATCATATCGAGCATATTGCATTGTGTCGGAGTTTGAACCAATGGATTTTGCATGTTTCCACCATTCTCGTTTGGGAGGTGAGTCGTGCCAAAACTGTGACCAACCACCGACAATGGTCCAGTACAAATCTGATAGTAGGGTTCTTTCGTCGTCCTTGGATGGTTCTCAAAGATGGATTGTGGTGGGGTTGAAATCGTCAAATTAGGGTTAGGGTCAAATGCCAAGCCTCGCCAGCACTTTTGAGCTCGTCCTTGATCGAGCAATCGACGAGCGAGTGGCGTTCTCGCGCGGCAAGGATCACGCCCGTACGGTCCTCGAGCATCCGTCATCGACGGTGCTGTGCGATCGTACGAGCGATACGATGGTCTCTCCTAATACCGGTAGTCTGTCTCTTTTGTCGACTTGTCAATGACGCTCTACCGTTTTGCAACAGCACGCGCTCGTAGGGAATATCCAGCTTCCGCTCCAGGAACGAAAAACCGTAAACGTCGTCTTGAGGTCGCAATGTCACACGTCGAGGTATCTCGACGCTAATGTAACAAAACGAAACGACGCATGAGTTGTTGTCGGTGGTCGCAAGGCCATCGGTCGACCGAGCAATTCGCCGCGACGTAGAGCTAACCAGCATGACGGCACGGGTCATGCGTCGCAACAGTCGTACGAGGAGGCGCACTGCTGCCTTGTTCCCTCACTTTACGTCCATTTAACATGCAGCAGCCTTCTCTGCAAGGCCCAATGCTTGAAGAGAGCGCAACAAGCTATATACTGCTACTATTTCTAGCTCGAGACGACCACACATAACATGCAACATCCTGCGCTTGCCCCCGTCAGAGAGTCAAAACAAGCCATGTACATGCAATCTATCCTCCTCTAGGGCCAAGGATGGGACCCATTAGGTAGGTATCATTTGACCATGGCAGCTTCAAGTCCTTGGCCGAGTCGCTCTCCCTTGGGCGTTGAGTCGATGGGTCCGTGTGACCGTGTGACGTGGCAGAATCGGACCGTTGCACTGTGCATCGCTTGGGATTGGCTATAATTATTTCTTTTTGGTCCAATCGAGCCGCGTTTATCATTTCGGCACCGCCACTGTCACTGCCACAGCATGACGGGCGACAAGGGCGACGACTGCAGCTCCGCCGCCGCCGCCAAGCCAAGCCTCTCGGACGATGCACCGCCTGTAGCTTTGTACACGGAGCCTACGACAACAGCCCGCAGCGCGACCAGCTCGCCAGACGTTGCAGCCACCCAGCGCACGACGACTGCAACATCGTCGGGCAAGCGTGCGCACAGCAGTATGGCGACTGCTTCGCCCACGACCAAGAAGCCGCGCGTGGACGGTCTGCGCTGGAGCGTCTTGAAGTGCAGCATGACGACGTCGGTCTCGAACGACAAGCAGACGATGACGACCAAGAAGATCATGTCCGACTCGTGGAACTGCGTCATGGCCGGGACGCCGGCCGACGTCTTTAGCATCCGCATCGACGCGCAAGGCCCCGACTCGGACGAGAACACGGACTTGTGGGTCGGTTTTTGCAAGGCCGGCGCCTTCAACGCGAACGGCGACACGACAGGCCGGTTCTGCAAGCTGCTGCGGCCGTCCCAGACGTGCGGGATCGACGAGATGGCGGCCTGCTTTGCCGACGGCGACGTGCTCACGTGCCACTACGACCGCGACGCATCGCGCATCTGGTTTGAAAAGAACGGCGTCGACGTCGGCTTGAGCTACGACGAGGTCGCGCCCGCCGTCCGGTATCCGGTCGTCGTCACCAACTGCGACGCCGTTGCACTGACGCTCGTGCCGTCGACGGCGCCTGCGCCAAGTGAGTGTACGCCCTAGTGTTTTTCTTTCAAGCTATACACATCTATCTATCTGGGACGCCTGTCTCGGTGCTTAAAGTACTACAGCGTTGCTACTGGTATGAGTTGCCCGACGAGACAGTGCAACGCAAACTCAATGGTAGCTCCATGTCGGTCGCTTGAGAAATGGACGAAAGACTTGGTCGTTTGCAGTTATAGTTAATCGTTTGCAGATATATATGGTAGACACAATCTGCATCTGCCTGCTCGATCTGCCCCTTCGCATGGTCCATCTCCAGCGAATCGCAACGCGTTGCTTTTAGCAAAGCCATTTCTTTATCTAACGAGCCTTCTCATTGCTCTGCGCTCCTACTCAACGCAGAGATTCGGGCACCCGCCTATCCACTTGTCTACTTGTCCATCATATCTAAGTATCCAAATACGTATCCTAAAATCCAAATATCCTAAAGGACTATCCGTGTCGACAACGTCTCTTTGACGTCCTCGTCGTTTCAAGAGATATAGACAACACAAGTAGACAGAGTAGTCGACATTATTGTACATGATCTTGTCGACGCATTAAATACGAGCATTCGAAACCCATCAAAGGTGAAGAAGGCGTGCGCCTATTACGCGTGCGACCGCGGCTTCAAGAGCTTCTCTTCGTGCAGCACGATGCGTGCAATCACCGCGTTGCTCCACGTATTCACAACCGTTGCAATCGGGTCCAAAAACACTCGGCGACGAGCAGAAAGTGCATCGCGTACGGGATCGAGAGACCCGTGATCATGGTAAAGAGCGACAGCACGACCGCGACACCGCCCGTGCGGACCGGTGCAATTGCATAGGCGCCAACCACGGACGAGAAGGCGACGAGGCCCATCTTGGTGTCGGAGATGTACCGCATCATGCCCGAGTTGTGGAGCACCCAGAGGAGCGAGAGCGTAATGTAGAGCGCGCCGCCATTTTTCGTAAAGACCATGCCGGTGGCCAAGGCGAAGCGCGTCCGGGCGTTGGCGTGGACACCGGGCGCGCGCTCAAAGCAGCGCGAGACGACCGGTAGCGAGTTCATGGACGCCGAGCTGCCGAGGGCATGCAGCAAGCCTTCTTTCAGCACCACAAGGAAGCGCCACGGCGACTGCTTGGTCCGAAGCAGAAACAGAAGTGGCATGACGACGCAGGCGTGGACGAGCGTCGCGCAAAAGAACGTCAGCACGTAGTAGAGGATGCGGCCGAGGTCCTTCTCGAGCGTGAGCACGTGCGTGCCAGCGTACACGGGGCCGGCGATGAGCGAGATAAGTGCGATGGGCGCGGTCTTCACTACGGTCGCCATCATCGTGTTGAAGATCGTCTCGAGGCCGATGAGGAGCTTGAGAAGCGGCTTGACTCGCGCGAGACCAACGGCGAGCCCAAACACCATGGCAAAGACCACGATGCTCATGACCTCGTTGTTGTGCCACGCGCCAATGACGTTGCCCGGCGTCAGAAGCAGCAAACCATGCAGAATCTCCTTGGTCGTCGACTCGTAGTAGATGAGCTTGCGAATATCCGGTGCGAGCACGAGCTGCTTGGTATTGTCATAGAGCGGAAAGACCATGGTGCGGATCTGGCGCGACGGCAGCGGCCCGCAGTTGAGCGTGCCGTTAGGTGCCATGCGCAAATACTCGGTCTTGTTGTGCGGGCACGTGATCGAGTAGCCAGAGTACTTGAACATGTACGTTGCGCCGTCGTACTTGTCGGCAAAGAGATAGCCCCACGCCATGGCTTGGGCCACCGCGAGGATCGTCGTGAGCAGTGAGTACGCGACGATGCGCCACCCCATGCGCGTGAGCCGCGGGTTGAACACAATGTCGGCCACCGCGCGCGCCAGACTCACAAAGACGGTCGGCACGAGAAGACAGCTCACGGCGCGAAAGTAGAGCGCGCCCCAGCGCACGATGAGCTTCTCCGTGTACTCGAATTGCTTGAGCTCCGACTTGACCGACTCCATCGCGAGCACGGAGCCGAGCACGAGGCCAAGGACCGCGCCGAGAAGCGTCCCGGGGGCGCCGACGTAGTGGTGGGTCCAGGATCGACGGCCCTCGTCGTCGTCGCCAGCGCCCGACCGCTGGTCCTCCGGAATGACCGTCGGGTACATCACTGGCCGGTGCGCGGTCGTCGGCTCGCTCGTCAGCACGGAAATGCCAGCAGACGAGGATTTTTGGCTGCCCCGGCTTGGCGTCGCGCCATTCGCAGCGGCCACAATGTCATAGTCGCCTTCCAAGTACGCATCGTCTTTTGAAAGCATGGGAAACATGCTACACGTTGCAAAACCAAGAGTGAGCCTTGTGCGTTTCGGTCGTATCGAACTGCCAGCTGGAGCCGACAAGTGGCCGAGGAGAGCGGGCGCCTCGGTGTCCCAGACACCTGTTACACTGGATAAGGCATGGACGCCGACACAATCCCCGTGGTGCAGAATCTGCACCACGCCTTTTCCGCCGTCGACTGTCCCATGCTACTACGCGCCGGGTACAGAATGGACGGCCTCGAAAAATAGTGCAGTTTCGGTTGTTGAAGTGATCTTTGGAGTTTGCACTTGTCTGTCCCATTTCCCACTACGTTCTTGACCGACAATGACAGCGTGATGGTAGGTGACAGCGTGCCTGGTGGGGGCTCGGCAACGCCTCCGTGTCCCACGACGCGTGCTTCTTAGTCCGTCGGCACCCGGCGAGATGCGAGCTCGAGACATGCGCTCGACGGTGCTTGTGATTCGTTTTCCATCATCAACTCTTCAATACGCAGTATGCGTCAATTACACACTGTGAGCTCACTTGCCCAAGGGTAACTAGTACATAGTATTAGTGTCGTCGCTCTTCTCTAGTTGTTTGTGGCTTTGTAGCGCAGACGGGTGTACCAGTGTGTGTGTACCAGTACGACACCAGAGACGGCACGGCCACAAGCACCGCGTCGGCGCTCGTCTCTGAGAAATGATAGCCATGGACTACGATCGTATGCTAGCCGCTCGGCAGCACAAGCGCCCGTGCGATTTTGGAAAAACGATCATCTGTGTGCGTCCAGGATTACGGCCCACGCGCCAACCATCGCAGCTACTCCCGCAGGACGCAGAGCCTCTTGCAGGCGGCGTCAGCTTCGACGTACAGGTGTCGTCACTGCCGGCTGGCGTATGCGTTGCAAGGTCGTGGTCCAGGTACAGTACCGGATAACCCCTAGCGAGGACGACGTGCATAGAAAGGCCGGTCGAGTTCCCACACAAGCTTCACTATTCTAAAATCGTATCATGGGCCCTAGTCTGTGCTCCGTTCTAGTTGCACCATCAATGATCGCGACATGCAGCACAGCTTTATATACGAGAGCCACAACAACATCGTCGATGCTTCAGCCAACAAGGTCCAACAGAAGCAGAGCCAAAAAAATGTACAATAAATTAACAACTACACGTCCGTTGCCGCAACTACATGTGCCCGGGGGCGGCTCTTCTCTTCGTGCAACACGATGCGAGCAATCACCGCGTTGCTCCACGTATTCACAACCGTTGCAATCGGGTCCAAAAAACACTCGGCGACGAGCAGAAAGTGCATCGCGTACGGGATCGAGAGGCCCGTGATCATGGTAAAGAGCGACAGCACGACCGCGACGCCGCCCGTGCGGACGGGTGCAATTGCATAGGCGCCAATCACGGACGAGAAGGCGACGAGGCCCATCTTGGTGTCGGAGATGTACCGCATCATGCCCGAGTTGTGGAGCACCCAGAAGAGCGAGAGCGTAATGTAGAGCGCGCCGCCATTTTTCGTAAAGACCATGCCGGTGGCCAAGGCGAAGCGCG